ATAGGATTGCACCACTAGTTAATTAACCATTATCAGTTTATTCAGTTAAGTCGACATAAATAGGTATATTATAAACTAGCACCATTGAACTCAACAGGTCTTTCTTCTGTGTAGACACATAGAAGATTGTACTTATGATCAAGCAAGGCTTCATGTTGCAACTATAGCAGACCTGGATAGCTCAGCTGGTTAGAGCGTGGTGCTGATAATACCAATGTTGTGGGTTTGATCCCCGTATGGGACAACTGCATATTCCTGCATTGCAGAGGGTTGGAATAGATGATCTTCAAGGTCCCTCATTTGGGTAGTAATTACGCATGCACAGTTTATTTGTTGAACGAAATCTCCCTGACCAACTGTTGTACTTTATAGGCCCAGCGTCTTCCTTTCCTTAATAGTTCTAACCTGTCCCTGGATATCTTGAAAGGCAACTATGACTGCATTGGTTTTGAGGATATTCTGAACGGTAAGCAAAATTCCAAAAAATTGGGAGAAATCTAGTATTTTAAAGCTACAGGGAAGAAAATGGATTGTAAAGATCACAAGACATCTCTAAACCTCAGGCCCTGTTCAAAGGTTGCTGCACCAATATGAAAACCACTTTTCACATGCTGGGGTCCCACTGTGTAGCTATGTGCTACACATGACTGTTGCAGCTGTGTTACAACTGTATTTTTTTGTGCATTTATATCCCATCATACTTTTTTCATGGAATTCCAAGACTACATATATGTGGCTTCCAATCTAAGCATTAAGCAGACCCAGACCTACTTAGCTTCAGCAAGATGGTGGCCTGGTGTGCCTTCACACCGTACCCTGGGATCCTCATGACCTGCCTGTAGCCTTCCCATAGGTAGCAGTGTCTGGTTGGCTGCTGTGAGGAAACGGGAGACACTCAATAGGCCTTTCGTCTGATACAGAAGGGCTTTTCTTACATGGGTGAGCCCAAGCAAGTGCCTATGCAGAATTTAAAGAGCAGAAACAACTTGTTTTCATGAGTACAATCTAGGGCTCACATGAGATCTCCACTGCTGATAAAAGGTTTAGTTAGAATTTATCACCTGTTGCCAAGGGAGAAAACACTGGCCTCTGTCCAGGCCCTCATTCCCAACCCTCCTACGTGAACAGTTAATTAGAGGTGTGCTGATCTGTTTTCAGTTCATGTGGGGTGCAGGGGGTTGTGTGGAGCAAATAGCAAGCCTTCTGCTGCACTTAGTTAAAAGTTGTATCTTGCATGCTGATACTTGTTCTTTCAAAGTTGTGGGTTACTAAAATATTAAACCTGTTTTCCAGATCCGGCACAGAGTGAAGTAATGGGAGATCCTCATCTGCTGGTTGAACACAAACTTGGTTTATTATAATGCACACATACTCCATCCTTCTGTTCATGAAAATGTTTCTTACCTGTGTTCCTGTAGGTTCAAGTAAACCATATTAAACGATAGCCGTACAGCGCTTGTTTTGATACACACAATATCTCACCTACCTTGATAAAAAAGGCACATTAAATGCTTAAATATATTACTTTTGTTCTGTGTTTACTGTCAGTACAAATGTCTTGTAATTGGGTATTTTTTTTAAATTGGGAAATACATCTCTATTCAGGGCAATTGCTGTTTCATGTCTGCAACTGTGGAACTGTAGACATTTAAAAGTCTATAGAAAAAGGACATTTTAGATTGAATGTTCTTGTAAAAGAACCTTTTGCCATATATAACCCAGGTATTTTCTGTTTAATCTTTCTTTCCTTGTGCTTGATGACTTGACATGCCATCTTTTAAAAACAATAAATAAAATTTTCTATAAATGCTGTGACTTTTCAAAATATTTAGTCATATCTACAAAGTTCCTCACCTCAAGCAGCACCTGCTTCCATTACTGAGCCATTCCCTTTCACCTTAGCCTAGATCTGTTTACTCTCTTCACAACCAGAATTTACACTGGCATAACTAGCTGGGATCCTCTACTTCCAACACCACTGCCCTGCCAGCTGAAATGCCACCCACCCTTCACAGATGGCACCCTTCCTCACTCATGTACAGAACACACCAGTCAACATACAGTGTTGACATCCATGTTGAGGTGCTGTCCTTTAGTTCTTATGCACACAATAGGCAAGCAAGCTGCCAGGCAAACCAATCAGCACCAGTCTCTGTGTGCTCCATTACAGAAGAGCTATAGCTTAGCAGTAGAACTTTTGCTTTGCGTGCCGAAGGCGCCTGGTTCAGTCCCTGCCATCTCAATGCAGAGATGGGAGAGAACCACTGACAGACATTGTAGGCAGCTTGCTTTCTCTCCCTTAAATCAGTGGCAACAAAGTGGTGTTACTGGTTATACTTCTAAAGCAAGGACCTTTGTTGTTTCCACTGCATCTTGCTTATAACGCACCTATTTATCTACTCAAGTCTTCCCCATTTTTCCTAGGAGTCTGATTCATATGTGGTGTGCCTAGAGTGTTGGATTAGAATTGTGAAGCCAGGTTTGATCCCCGTTCAACCACCACATTCACCTTGAGTCTGTCATTCTGCTCTCAGCCTAACCTCCCTTCAATAGAAAAGGTGGGTACTGTACTGGGTGTTCCAACTTTGGCTTCTTGGAGGAAATGTAGTAATATACCAGCTAACAGTCCTATTCCCAGTCAGTGGTTGCCCTAGAGCAGAGCTTTCCAAACTCTTGTTTTGTGACACGTTAGTGTGTTGGTTGCAGTGTCCAGATGTGTCATGCAAACACTCCCCACGCTCCTCCTGTGGCTGGAAAAGGGTTAGTTTAACTTCTGGTTTGCTAGTAAAACTGAATTCCTGTGTCATGAAATGATACATGTCTAACAAGTTTGGAACGCTCTGCCCCTAAGAGCATGCTGCTCTGTAATAACCACATTCCCTCCTCCTAAAGCCGTAATAATCAAGGGTTCTTGTAAGGAAGAGCAGCAAATGACACGTCTCTTGAAAGCCAAGGGGACCAAATGGCAAAATGGGTGGACACCAGTGTACAGTAGGCTATGCAAGGCAGGTTTTCCCACAAACATCCACCCTCCATTTGGTTAAGCAAGAGGCAGTATCCCAATTCAAGGATTCCCTCCTGCGAAAAAAAAGCACTTGAGGCTGGTGTGGAGTCTCAGTGACTGAGTAGAGAAGCCTAGAGGGGTGTGTGGCTGTATTCCTCCCTCAGGCCTGAGGATTGCCACCCACGATTTATGTGGTGGTGCTGTTTCATGACTACCTTCTGTCCTTTTTGCTTAACGCAGCTTCAAAGTTTGGTTCCACAGGAATAAATGTTCCTCATGGAGACAACTTTGCCTCAGTGAAGGAGATGAATTCTTATCTTGGTTGGAAGCAATCGGTATGCATTCCTAAATACTTGTGATGCTTTTGGACTTGCCCAGTTTTAGTTTTTGAGCTGCCAGATTTGCCTCGTGAAAGTGCAACACGTTTTGTGGGGTAGCCCGCAGGAAAGATAAAAGATGGAAAAGCTGTAGGATCTCATGTTCTTGAATTGCTTATTCATGACATGGAAATTTGAGCTAGTAAATTCCCAAGACTTCTTTGCCCTCCCTTTTTTAAAAAAGAATATCTCACTGCAATGAGGGAACTTCTCTTGAATAAAATATTTCATTGTACGCTGGGAAGTATGAATTTTTTTTGCCTCATGTTAGCTTCATCTGTGGGCTAGTGTTCGCCAAAGCAAGAACATTTTTAAATGACAGCAGGGCTGTTGAATTCATGAAAATGAACCTCCCATGCAAATGGTGTAACATGTAAAGGGTACTGATTAAGTCTTAACTGAAGAAATAACCTTGTGGAAACCTCAGGGTTTTAGAGGTCTTGCTTTGACAAAGTACATTTGCTTCTTACAATTCTCACATCCTAGGATGCAGCTCAAAGTCAGATTCTGAATTAGTCAGGTGTTTCCAGTTGAAAATTGAGTTGCATTATTTTTTTGCAATATACATTTTTAGAGTTTGCAAATTGATCCAGTTTTGATAAATTGGCTTCTGTGTTTTCCTGCTCATACAAGCAGTTTTTTCGTGATAGCAGGGTAATTCATTGCTTTTTACCGGAGAATCTCAAAGAGAAAGTAAAAATACATTCAATAAATAATTTTTTAAATAAACTTGTAATACCAAGAGTGTTCATAGCAATCAACCAACAACGAAAATATCCTTCCACATGCAACTGAAAGTTGGAACACTAAAAGCAAAGGCCAGAAAATCCAACCATGAAGGCCCAAATTCCTGAGTTTTGGTAACACAGGCACCAGGCAAACCTCTGGTACCAAAGTAAATGAATAATTACCAATCCCAGAACCCTCTAGCTCCTCTTTCTTACTCACCAGTAGGTTCTTGGGAATGCTTTTCCACCTCTTGCTCTGGTTGGAAGATTAAAGCCTTCTCAGCTTCTAATCTTCTTGTTATAGCTTTTGTGCAATCAGGTGGCATGCTTCTGAATATCAGTTGCTGAAAGCTACAAGAGAGGGGTGTACTATTGCACTCAGAACCTGCTTGTGCATATATCCCATAGACATCTGGTTGGCCACTGTGATGCTGTGCTAGATAGGCCACCAGTCTAATCCAGCAGGCTGTTTGTTACTATGTTATGGTTCAGCTTCATGGCACTAAAAGATTTTAGTAAAAACAACCAGCTTACGAGTTCAGGTTCGGTTGTAATCACAAGCACCTGCATGTGATAACACCACACTGATCTGTGATACTCTAACATGATCTTTGACCCTAAACAAGTTGCTCTTTGCTTGTCCATTTCAAAACCAGACAACTAAATGTCATTCTTTCTTGACTTCTGAGACGTAAATTCTAAAAATGGATTTACTGGCATTTAAATTAATGTATAATATAATCGTTTCCCCTCTTAATCTACACTAATTTTGCTTAAACTGACTCATTTTTTAGATAAACTTGTTCTATCATAAGCAGCTTGAATTGCCATGTTTCTTTCTAGTGACTTGATTGCATGTGAAATAATTGTTTTAAGAAGCACTGATACAAATGTCGTTCAAAAAATGTTTTATTTATCTCAATATTTTCATTCATTATACATTATACACACAAATAAAAGTCAGTCAAAGAAAGTAGTGCAAATATTGTCATGATTATTGTAAAACACACACTCCCAAGGCAGCTCAGTCTTAGAGTCAGAATCAGTGCAAAGATTAACTTGGGCAACCACTGTATAAAAACTTCCAGTTCCATAAAGTTTTGAGTGTCTGCACACTACAGATACAGACCAGTTTAAGGCTGCATTCTTATGCACCTATACCTGTGAATAAGTCTCACTGAAGTCAATGTGCTTTACTTCTGAGTAGACAAATATTCATGGGATTGCTAAATCATTTGGTTTCCTTAGGAAATCCTGAGGGCTAGTTTCATGAAGGACAATACAGATCTGAATATGCTCAGCATATTTTAATTCCCAAGATTCTTTGCAGTAAGCTACTACAATTACACTAGTCTAAAAGCAATTGTTTGTTCTTACGCTCTTTTTATAAATCCCCCCATAAGCACACATTTTCTGATCTCTAGCCAAAATGATCAGTTCCTTCTCTAGATGCATTAGCAATAGCCTCCTGCCAACCTAGTGCTAGATGTTTCAAGCGACAACTCCCATCAGCCTCAGCCAGCATGGCTAGTGGTCAGGGATGATGGGAGCTGGAATACAAAGCACCTGGGGGCACCAGCTTGGAGAAGGCCATTTCAGATAAAATACTTTCTTGTTCACTCTTGTGTGCTATCAGATCAAGATAACAGAACTTCTCGTGAACTTTCACTTTGAGTTAATGTGAAGCCAACTCCAGGCCCAGACTCCTTGGGTGGAGAGCGGCTTTTGCTATAAGACAATAAGACAACCTCTCACAAAAGGAGGAAAGTGAAAGTTCTCTGGTCAGTGAATTGCTATTACCATTTCCACCCAAGCAGCTATTAACTTTGACAAAGCAGCTTTGTCCTGAGTAATTAGTGCCAGAAGTTATTACAGAGCCTGTCTTCAGCCACAACAGTCAGCTTCAGTGCAGTATCTCTCCAGCAAGCTTGCAGTCTTGCTGCTGGTGGTGGTTCGAAGAAAATACAGTCCTTTCTTTTGTTCCATAGCTGTCTGTGGCAGCTTTCACCAACCTTGACCCCAAACAATCTGCAACCTTCACAATTGGGGTGGGGTGGGGTGTAGCAGACATTACATAGGAGATAACATCAATCAGTCTCCTGACTTAAAAAAATGGAATTTGCTAGGTAAGGCTGCAGTCTGAGTGAAGGAAGAGGGTAGGAAAAGATGATATTATTACTAATTGGATTTATAACCAAGCTTTCAACCCAAAGGTTACCCGAATTAATGAATGTTAGTTCATTAAAATAAAGCACAGCAATATCATGGACACAACCCCCCCCCCAAAGAACATAAAACATCATTCCAACAGCACACATTGTATAAACCACCTGAATGGATGAGTCCCCAGATATTTTTCCCTCACAGGGAGATAAGCAACTGGGGGAAATAAATTCTAAGTGGACAAACTGCAGGAAAGAGAAGTGCCCCCCCACCCCGCTGTTTCCTCACTCCTGACGGCAGTCAGGGTTAATTAAAAACCCTTTCAGAGACATATCACAATCTTCCCATGGACATCTAATTTGATCTATGGGGAAGAGGGGTGTGTGGATCACAGAGACTGAGAGGGAGCATTAGAAGTCACTAAGGAACTCTCATAAAACCATCAGCATGAAAGCACCTCAGCGCTTCATGATACCGCAAAGCAATATATGGCAAGAGGGGAAATAACATCCTAAATGTTAGCGATATGAAAAACTCGCCAGGTGTTGCTAACAACATATTTTATGCTGCGGGGGGGGGGGGGGAGATGCCATTGAATGGCATTCTCTATACATACTGTCATTATAGAGCATATAAACCCAAGTGGCAGAAGCAGTTTTATCATCTCAATCCCTAATATTAATTTGCTCTGTGGCCCTGAGACAAGTTCGATATTAAAAGGTTGCCCACCCAGAGGTGGAAGGTGAAGTTGGCAAAGAGTACCTGCCTCAGAGCAGCATCGAGAAGATTAATGACTTACATATTTGCCAAGCACTCCGAAGATGAAAAGTGCAAAATTACACTTTACAGCACATTAACTGTGAACTAATTAGATGCACAGCTCTGGTTCCATCACAGGAGCTCAAAAGAGTTGTAAAAAGAAATGAGGAAGATTCTCCAGACCAGATGGGAGAAAAATGTTAAAGGGCTCAAGGAGAGACAAAATTAAGCTTATTGATTTTGAAAACATGATTGACAAGGCTTTTCTTCCAGCAAGAATATCAGAAAGTTTTTGGGGGGTTTAGGGCCATCTCTGCTTAGGGGAAAACTGTCCACCATTGGAATGTGGTCCAAAAGTGTGGGGAGGGGGGCAGCACTTCTCTCTCTCTCTCTCTCTCTCTCTCTCTCTCTCTCTTCCTTTCTCTTCATTCAACCATCATTCATCCTCTCACTCACAAAAACACATATTCCTTCACTTGCAAAGTTCCCCCTACTTGGCTGGCCCGCACGCACGCGCGCGCGCGCACACACACACACACACACACAGACTTCCACCTCCCCATTCCCCCCCCCCCATCTAGCCAACCAGCCTGTTCTGCTCCTGCCTTTCTCTGTGTTGTAACTATTTCACTGGCAGAACCACCCCGGCCATCACTGGAGAGTGCAATCGGCACTACCAGAGGTTTGAAAAATGGCCAGCATTCCTACACACGCAACCAAACCACAGAGTGTGGGCCAAGAATAGAGTTCCAAAGCACCACTCTATATCTGTGGCACACTATGCCTGACCCACACACAAGCAGGAATACCTGCCTGCTGCTGCCCCCCCCCCAATGGTGGTGGCGGCAGCAGGTATGACAGACTCTGGGGTTCCACATTGAGGAAGTGGAAGGGCCATGTGAGACCCAGACAGGTAGCCCACTTGTGCTCGGGATAGGAGCTTTAAATCCAGTTATTTCAAAAGAGCTTTAAGCACACCTAATCCTGTGTTGAAATGCAGCCCAAAACATTACGTAGTGTCTACCCTGCAGGCAGCTACATTTTGCATTGCAGGCTTCACAGGTTCAACATGCTTATCCTGAACTGCATGCAAGGTCTTGCTCTTCGTTTTCATGTGAACCGACCCTATCAAATGAACCTATTGAAACGCTACCTAATAATTTAACAAGTCAATCCTTAAACAAAATAGACAATTACATTAGGGTCTTTTTTGTTTTGTTTACAACAAATCTTTTATCCGCTGCAGAAAGTGCTGTTGGGGGGGGGCACAGCATACAGTAAACATTGCTGATTAATCCTCACTTTTGTATACCTAAGTGCATTGGTAGGCCAAGCTAATGAGGGACTTGGTTCACATTTAAAGGCGAATCTTCCTAACTCCTGAAAATATATGAACCAAATACAGTCACCTTGTGAAATTCAGACTTCTTTGAATTTTGCAATGCAGATCTCTAATCAAGCAATTCATACAAATTAGGTAAAGTGTGCATAAAAATGCATTATATTAGTGGATACTACTTGCAAAAACATTGCGTACAACAATGTGCGTGTAGGAGAAATTTGTACTAAAATGCTGACCTTTTTTTAAAATGAAAGAATTTGCAAACTGATGTTGAAATTGAAAGACTCGCCCATTCTTTGGCCCAGTAGAACAATTTAAGGAAAATAGTGCAAGATAAATCACAGTGGCATTTTATACAATTGTATGCATCATAAAGTAGGTTAACTTATGGAAGTTCGTGGAATTGGCTGCCCCCTCCTCTCCTCTCCTCTGCCATCGTGAAAGCCTCTGCAGAGGTTTGGCGGCCCTTTCGGAACAACGGGGGACAGGGTGTGGGGAGCTGTTGGGTGGAAGAACAGAATGGAACCTTTCTTTCCATAAACTTCTTTAACTTAGGATCCAAGCCCAATTCCAATTGATTCTCCAGCTCTCCCAATAGCCCTTAGAATCCCATCCTACATGATTCGGGAGGGAGACATAACCTTTCAGAGTGGCTTTTTTCAGGGGGTTAGGGTTAGGGTCAGGTGGCTACAGAGGTGGAACAGGAGATGGGAGCCTTTTTTCCATTATGTTCCTTAAGTTACCTTAGATTCCAAGCAAAGATTGCCAATCATTGTTATAGACTGTCTGCATTCAAGGCACCTGCCTGTCCTCTGTGTAAAGAAGAATCAGGTTTGTTCAGAATTATTTTAAAAATAATTGGCTCAGTTTCTGCATTTTCTTAAGCTTGTCTGGCCACAGGGCTTGCTTGCAGATGTGGTCACACAAAAATTGGGGAAGCTATGTAGGACCTCCACGGCTTATCCAGGCAATTGCTCAAATAGGGTTTGTTGACAGTACTTAACCCATCCTGTGATTCTTAACTCCCTCTGCAACACAAACACAACCTTCCTGTTGCAAGAGTAGATAATTCAATTTACATATCAATATACAGTCGTACCTTGGTTTTCAAACGCCTTGGTACTTGTACGTTTTGGCTCCCGAACGATCAAAACCCAGAAGTGAGTATTCCGGTTTTTGAACTTTTTTTGGAAGCCGAACATCTGATGCGGCTTCCGCTATTGTTTCCGGTGCGCCTGCGCAATCGGAAGCCAGTTGGAAGCCACGCCTTGGTTTCCAAATGTTTTGGAAATCGAACGGGCTTCCGGAATGCATTCTGTTTGAAAACCAAGCTGCGACTGTATAATAGTTCAACCCTGTAGGTAAGTTCTACTGAACCCAATGGGCTTATTTCTCAATAGCCACACATAAGATTGCACTGCATGCAAAATAAGTGCATCATTTCCTTGCTGAGAAGGTAGCGTCACTGCTGCCCATCTGTCCACTTCCTGCAAGCAGGTAGGCATCACAGACTTACTGGTGTACACAAGAAAGTCTGGTTAATACAGGAGTCACAGAATTCCGAAACTCAAAGGCCAGGGCATTTCAAAATGATGAGAGAACAGAAATGTGTCCAAACACGGTGACGCCTTGCCCTTTCCAGTAAGCAGGAGCGACAACCAACCTGAGTTCAGGGGAGCAGCAGCACCAACACTATCTGCTACTGATTGCACTGAAACATTAACAGCCATGTGCAGGTGCACCAAGACATCAAGGGCCTGATCCCAGTTCTGACATCACTCCTGTTTCAGCACCGGCCAATTGCCTATTGCCTTTTAAACAGCTCAACCAAGGCAGTGCTTTGGGTGCTTCCAGACAATCTGTTTACTGAGCATTCATTCCTGATCTGTTTGCTACATTGGCTATTTAGTGATAATTAATTTGTTCGTGGAGATGCTAGACAATGTTGTGTTCAGCAACCCTATCCTTTCCAGTCCATTTCCCCATAACTTTCCTTACTGAGAAAAAGCCTGATGTTTTGAGAAAGCAGGTTTGTTGTGCAAGACCTCCCAATCAACTGTCATTGCGAATTTGCCAGTTTGTGATTGAATCCCACCCCAGCATAGCAACAGACTGAAAGCACCATTCATGACTCTCTTCCCTGCTACCGCTTTGCGCAGCATCCTATGTACCATCAAGGACAGCAGCAAACCTGGGATGGTCAATTCTTGTAGAGATCTAACAACGGACACATCAGATCCTTCTTTAGCTGTGCCAATAGAGTCAACAGGTATGGCCATGATAGAAGAACAGGAGAGGAGGGCTAGCCTTTAGACAAATTCTCTGTTCAGCTGTCAGCATTCTCCCCAAGGGAGTCGTCTTCATTTATAAGTAGTGCAAAGTGATATTCATGCCAAGTGGCATACAGAAACCAGCTGGGAGAAAGAGATAAGACGTTTTAAAGAGGAGATACGGAACACACTGTACTAAGTCAACTGAAAATGTACAGAAATCATAAAGCTGCCATACACTGCAATGAAAAAGGTCCATGTGGCGTATTCAGTAAGGTTGTGACAATACCTCCCTGTATGCAACCTGAAATGGATAGTCTTCTTAACCTTTTGAAGGAAACACCTGTCATGCCAGCTTTAAGATTAAGAGCAAAGGCAGGTGGAGCATTCTAAGAGCAGCTAAAGCAGTTTGAAAGCAACCTTGCCAGCCCAAAATAACTTCTCCTTTATTCCAGGACATGTGTAGAAGAACAACACTTCCGCAAATTTTCAGCATGGTTCAGTTTGAACTGGGGAAAAGCTGGCCAAGGAGAATTCCTATTGGTGAAAATCCATGACATTTACCTATGCACCTCCCCTTTGCCAATCTCTAGAATGTGAAACACAAAGGAAAGGAAAGGATGGACAGCTGAACCAGCATTTTACTTGCTGGTACAGTCGTACCTTGGCAGCCGAAAGCCTTGGCTCCCGAACAAATCGGCTCCCAAACGATCGAAACCCAGAAGTAAGTTTTCGAACCGTTTTTGGAAGCCGAACATCCGACATGGCTTCCGATTGGCTGCAAGACGCTCCTGCAGCCAATGGGAAGCCGTGCTTTGGTTTTCGAACGGTTCCGGGAGTCGGACAGACTCCCGGAATGCATTCTGTTCGAAAACCAAGGTACACATGTTTAAGGCAAGTTCCATACTGCAGGGAGAAGGACGCCCTGTGACCACTATTTTAAATGTTATGTCTGTGTCCACCCTTACACTTTAGGTATGTGGCAAAGTCAAGGCACTGTTGGGAAATCAGCATAGCAGGAAATATTTAGCCTGAGTTTCGCATTATTTTTCACGAATTTCAAGCAAATACTCTTGTCCTGACGGGTAGACTTTTGTCAGCGATACATGCCTTCCTGACCATTCTTTTACTGATCTATATTACATTTGTACTCAGCCCATCTTCCGAGTAGCTCAGATGGGATTATTCCCTTTTAACCCTTACAAATACCCTGGAATGAAGTTTTGACCGGGAAAAGTCTTGTACTGAGAAAAAAATGTGGCGTTGGTTGGTCTCCTTTGTTCAAGTCAAAGGGTGATATTCAACTACCTATTGAAATGGATGAGTCTCACTTAGTCATGTTCATTTCAATGGGCCAACTGTTTAAAGGCTAGTTGAGCACCACCTAAATACTTTACCAGTACTTTACAGTACTCAATACACTGGTACCTTGGTTCTCGAACAGCTTAGTTGTCGAACAAATCGGCTCCCGAACGCCGCAAACCCGGAAGTAAGTGTTCCGGTTTGCAAACTTTTCTTGGAAGCTGCACCTTGGTTTTTGAACGGTTCTGGGACTCCCGGAACAGATTACCGTATTTTTCGCTCTATAAGACACACTTTTTCCCTCCTAAAAAGGGGAAATGTGTGTGCGTCTTATGGAGCGAATGCAGGTTGTGCAGCTATCCCAGAAGCCAGAACAGCGAGAGGGATCGCTGCGCAGCGATCCCTCTTGCTGTTCTGTCTTCTGGGATTCAGAATATTTTTTTTCTTGTTTTCTTCCTCCAAAAACTAGGTGCGTCTTATGGTCTGGTGCGTCTTATAGAGCGAAAAATACGGTAAGTTCGAAAGCCAAGGTACCACTGTACTTAATTATTTAACTGATATTTCATTACAAGAATTTCATTCATAAAAAGATAAGAGTGAGGAAAAAAAAGAAAGGAAAAAAGTCAGTGAGAATGAAAAAAATAAAGAAAAAATACTGTTACCAGATCTTAATACTTGATAATATACGAGGTAGTGATGCTGGAGATTTTTATAATGCACCAAGGATGCACTGGCAGAAGGGTGGTAGCTCAAGAGAGGAGCACTTGTTTCATATGCAGCTCTCTGGGTCATGTTGGGCCAGTCGCTGTCTCTAACTCTAAACCTACCTCGCAGGGTTACTGAAAGAGGGAGGGGGAGAACCACGTAGACCACCTGGAGTTCCTTAGAGGAAAAGGTGGACTATAAATGCAATGTAATAAATAGCTTTGCTTTTGGCACTAGCCAGAGGAGTAATATGTATACAACCTCAGTGTGATCAGCGGAATTATGCAAAGGCCAGCTGAGAAGAGGAAGCAGAAGCCTGGAAACCAGCCCACAGTGGCAGCATAAAGACTATTGAACGTGACAAGTCCAAGAGTCCCCATCACGACCTCTAAGCAGGCGATGCAAGCAAATATAGCTCCTGTCAAAACAAGAAAACACAAAAAAATTAAAATAAAACACTTGTGCTTGTCTCCATTTATTTGAAACATTTCTCAACCGCCTTTTCTCAGAAGATTCCAGGGTGGCATTCCAGAGTGTTACTTAAACTATTCATGCAACTTATTAATAGGGTTAACCTTTTTTTTATTTTTTTAAAGCCCCAAATAATAAATAACAATGTAAAATAAAACTGACAAATCCACCCAACACCTCCTAACTCCCTTTGTAATTTATGACATGACAACCGCGAACTATCCTTTCGCAACTTCAACTCACCTTGTTCATTAGGAAGAACTAATTTGGACAACATGGATCGAAGGACTGGAATGGGCATAGCAAGTAGCAGGGAAGGCACTCTCACTGTAAAACACACAAGCCAGCAATATTATGAATAGGAGACTGAAATAGATGAAGCTGTACTGTAAAATACAAGAAAGCAAAAGGAAACAGCCAAGATATTTTGATAGTCATATAGGGTTGTCTCCAACTAAGTCATACTCTGAGAAGATCCACTAAAATAGATGCATTTAAGTTACTCAAGTCTATTTCAATGGGCTTTCAATGGTTTGGTAAGGTTTAATGTGAACCTAACCTGAAACAATATGCAAACCGAAATGCAAACGTATTTCAAAATTCATACTTTTCTGAATTTTGTGGTGCAGTTCTCAAACCAAGGAATGTCTATAAAATTGCATATATTCTTGAAAATAATGTAGTCCAGAAATTATTCTTCATGGTTGTGAGCACCACTTGTTTTCAAAACGTCTACATAACCAGCATTCTTACCAAAAGTTCTGAATTTTCACCGGTCTGGTACTGAACTCACCTAAAAACATCAGCAACGTAGTGGTGGCAAAGGCAGCCATGACGGCTCCTCCTACGTAAGAGAAGATCCCGAGGTAAACAAGGTAAAAGTCCTTTAGGTACTTGACAAGGACAAGGATTCCTAAAAAGCCAATCAGAGAGACAGCAGTAGATGCAGCCGAGCCGTATCCTATGTAGATGGCATTCCAGCAGAGCGGGGCGTTCAGTTCATAGATGGTGTAAAGAGAAAGCGCGCCGATCATTGTGAACAAGTAAGTCATGAATGTACAAAGCAGCAATGTGATCAGAGTCCGCTTCCTACAGGAAGAATTCCGAAATAAGTCATAAACTCCAGAAAAGGTTTCCTTGAACTTTTCTTTCAGAGACTTTGGCTCAACTTCAGATACCCGGACCGTGTCATCCAAGAAACACATAACGTACAAAATGTTGACCACCTGAAGCAGTGACATCATCACGTATGTCCAGGTAAAGCCCAAAGCTTTTAAAATGTAGCCTGAAGACAGTCCTCCCAATCCAGAGAACACTCCAAGGATGAAGTCGATCACTGCTATTCGGATGGTATTCTGCTTCTCATTCTCGCAAAGGTCAGCGATGAAGGCAAAGGCACCGCCAAGGAAGGTTGCTATGCTTCCAAACAGCCCAGTAACGAAGGCCGAAATGAAAAGGAGAGAGAGGGGCAGCGAGAAATAGGATATAGCGCAGAGGAAGATGCTGCTCACGAGACAGCCCACCATAGGAAGAACCAGCGATACTTTGCGCCCCCAGCGTTCTCCATTTGCTACGACGACAAAGGCTACCAAAATGCTGAGGGCACCTGCACACAGGTCTGTTTTCAAGATAAAAATAGACATCTTTTCTTGGACTTCCTGAAAGAAGAAAATAAACAGATTTAATATAAAGGAGCGGATTGTAAATCCGTAAATGCAAACCTGTGTAATAACTGATTGTTAATGGCTTGCGATAACATGGAGGCAAGCATGGAACCAGTGTGTCGTGGAGTGCCCTCCCTGCTGAAATACCAAGGTGCCATCAGTATTGGCATTCCACTGGCTCTTGAAGACACACCTGAACTTAAACTTGATCCTACTGTTTTTTTCAGTTGTTTCAATTGTCATGCTTTCTAACTTTATTTTCTTTCCAAAAACGACCCCATAATTTTTGGATTTTATTGATATTGATACTGCATTTTATGTTGTATTCTATGCTGTTTTATGCTGTTTTTAAGTCACATTTTAATCAATTCTTCATATTTGCTGTTAGCCGTCCTGAGCCCAGTTTTTAAACTGGGAAGGGTGGGGTATAAATAAAAATTTATTACAGTATTATGATTTATTATAACTGGCTTGTGGCATATTTTAATTAAAGATGTTTTAATGCTACGGTGGAATTGTTAGTGTATTTTAATTATGTATGGATTTTATAATTGGTTTTATAGTTGCAAACCACTTACAAGTCATTTCTGTATATGAGCAGTACATAAATTATTATTTAAAACATCATCGTCTTTCCCTCTTTCATACCTCAACATGCATGCATGTAGGAGAAAGTGTGCAGAGGGAAGGCCAAATTTTGATCAGCCCAAGCAACCACAGACACAAAAGAGCCCTGAAGTACCGTTTTAGGTCACATTCACACCATACATTTCAAACACAAGGTTTTCCCAGAAGAATCATGGGAACTGTAGTTCACCCTCGCAGAGCTACAATTCCCAGGACCCTTAACAAGCTACAGTTCCCAGGATTCTTTGGTGGGAGGTGTGTGCTTTAAATGGTGTGGATATGATTTCAACACATTTGCAGCAGCATAAGATTTTGTGGACTGGATTTTACATCACCCAGTGCGTGAAATGCCAGTCGAAGCTGTACCTGTATCTGTGTACCTATTTACAGACGGGAGAAGAATTATAAATCACCGGGTTGAAATGCCACAAAATGCAAGGTGCCCATTACATTTCTGTGCAAAGCTCAAATGTATCAAGCTCACAGAGAAAGCACTGACAAGCAAAGAAAGCACAGAGGTTATCTCGCACACACTTGAACTTTGCGCAGAAAAGTTGCAGACTATGCCTCTTGCATTTTGTGACCTTTCGGCCCTTCTGTAAACGATTCTCTCTCCTTGAGAGTGGCAGAAAAACACTTGCCAACTGAAGATACGCTTGATGTGTCTGTTCTGAGAGACAGAGTAAGACCTTGGCAGAGTAAGACAGAGTAAGACAGAGTAAGACCTCCCCCTGAAAAATCAGGTTGCAGTCTGGCAGTACTCCTGGATGAAGATGTCCAAAGAGTACTGTGGCCAGGGGTGCTTTTGTCCAGCTTAGGCTGGTGCACCATCAGCAACCATTCTTGAAAAGCTCTGACAAAAGGGACTACATTTGAAGAGTCCACACAAAGTTCAGTTGGTGAGCCTACTGAAACACCCTTTTAAAGCTGCCAGAGCCACGTCCTTTTTTGCACCTGGTCCTCCCAGCTCTGACTATTCCAGCAGCTGACAATTCATTGACTGTGTCATTTAACTCAAAAGAGGGTCTTGTGTATCCTTGGCTCAAGTGACGTTTTCTTTGCAACGCTCTCTCCCAGTGGGCACAACCCAAACATATGCATTTTAAATTTTTCATTAAAGTTTGTGGAACTTAAGAGCATAAATCTCTCACAGAGATAGAGACTAGCAGTCCAATCCTACAGATGTTTACTCAGAGTTTACCCAGTGTAAACTCAGATGTTTACACCAAACCCATTGAGTTCCGCGAAGATTACTCCCAAGAAAATGAGAGTAGGAGCTTTCTGGATAGAAATCAGTAGACTTGTACTGTCCATTTAACTATGCCTGGTATGCACCAAGGAGAACTCTGAGCTTACCTTTTGCTTCAAGAAAGTTGGATCGCTTTCGTTCACATGGCAATGAGAAGCATTGTCATTATCGAAGGTGGAATTGGTGGTTTCCTCCCAGAGCTTCCGATACACATACTGCTGCATCAACGGCATGGAATATAAAAACATGAACAAGGCAACCACAGGTTCCACTACCATAAATTTCTTCATGCTTGAATCTGAGTTTTAATTCTGTTTCAGAAAGAAAAGAATGTATTAGTCTTCTGGAAAGGACATCAGACTGGCTCATCAAACTGGGAAGGTACCTGCACACCTGCAGTCCCACAACAGGTGATGAGTCAAGCAATAAAAAACACTGCAACCCTGATGGTTTGGTGCGCTGTTACCAGAAGGGGTGGATCCTCTGTAATTCCTTGTTAAATTATGAAAGAGCCATTTAACATGCTCTGACTCACATTTGCTCTAACCTACACTGCTAAGATGGGGTTTTCAAATGAGTTTAGCACAAGGGAGTTATATTTTTTTAATAACTTCTACTGGGTTTGGGGTATACGGAATGTAGTACCTCTGGTGGCAGACACATCATGCTCCTTCTGAGGTAGTTTATCACCTTTGGTCCCCACCCTGCACTCAGCTCTCACCTGTGGCTTCCAGAAGTTGTCAACGTGCAATAGGGGTCGCTCCCCAGGAAATGGCTCCGACTGGCCGGCTAATCCAGATGAGGGCAGCTGATGGTTTTCAAACCCTTGGTGAGTTATGGACTTCCACTGCATGTGAAGACAGGCTCCAGCGGATTGAGCAGACAAGAGTAATAGTGAGTCGAACAGTCAAGAAGGTAGGTGGTTTCTGCTCATGCTGTAGGGGGAAGTGAGGGGGCAGATGGGGCTCATCAACCTGGGAAGGTACCCTAGCTAGGATAAGGAAAACTCTGGCCCTAAACTTCCACTGCCTTGTGCGGTATCTTCGGGAAAAGAAAAGGAGTCCCTAAGATGGTTGGATGGCCTTGTACGCCTCCTCCTTGCAACTCCTGCAGCCAAACTGGGGCCAAACTGCTTTCCTTTGGGCCACATCAGTGAGGCCGAGAGGAGGGTCTTGTCATCTGGGCAGCACAGGACCTCCATACACAATGCCCAGGCTTGTGCCTCAGGGAGGTCACTTTGGTGCAGCAAATGCAACAGTTTGACTTCACCCCTGGAGGTGCACTCCATTGTCTCTCAAAACAGACACATGCCAACAACCTACTGCGTCATTTTATCCATTTTCCTGCTTTGCAATTTTGGTTTCTGTTTTTCTGTCTTGAGAAACATAATTAGACAATGCAACCAATGCTTTTTTTCCCTGGCAGTACACAACGGTACACAGTATTGCCACCTTTTTCGCAAGAGAAGGAGGCCGGAGGCCTCTTGGACCCTGTCGGAGCACCGTGCCTCCTTCCCTAAGCTGGGAAAATGCTTCCTGGGCTTGGGGAAGGAGGCATGAGCCCACGTCCCGGCAGACTCGTGGATGGTATGACCCTGTGGCAATAATAGGCATGCACAGTCAGGTATTAAGAGTACAGAACAAGGTACAGAGTTGCAGCAAGTCCTTTAATTATCACGCATAATGTAATAACTACATACCAATATTTTAATGACGTTCCAGTAAAACATACAACTGTTTTACATGTATTTGTTTTTCCTGACTCCCAAGGAAGTTTTCCATCCAGGGCAACCGCCCAGAGTATCAGCACCTTTCCCCCCTAGAAATAAAGCACTTTAATAACAACTGCAGTACTGGTTGAGTGACCTGGTTAAAAGAGGGGACAGGGCTCCCGAATCTTTAAAAGTTGTGTTTCAGCATGTATGCCTTTTATGAAAAATTATGGTCTTTTCCAGATGGCCTGTTTATTCAGCATTCATCCTGATTTGCTTGCAGGACAGTTAAAAGACAATGAATTATAAGGCAGTGGTGAACTCATACAGCAACTGTCACCCCAGGGAGAGTTACCCTGTCTGGTCTTTAACTGTAATAAAGATTGATTGAGGGTTTTTTGTTATCTATCACAGCTTCCCAGTGAATTTGGTGTGGGCTAGAGACTTGTTTCAGGGCACAAAAGCCCAGCTCCTCGTTCATATTTATAGCAGCAGTTATTGGTGTGTACGTGTGCACACACACATTCTACTCTTGAGAGGGTCTTTCAGAAAAATAAAGTGTTGGGCCAAACACAATGCCAGCACTTCTCATAGAAGGCAGCTGTCCAGCAGCAAATGTGTATGTTTTTTCCTCCCAGGATGCAAGCTCTAGTTTCTTATTCCTCTGGATTGGCCTGAGAGACACCACAATTTAACATGCATTGTACAAAGACAAAACTTTAGGATACACGCCGATGATGCATTTTCCAAAAAGTTTATTCCAAGGCAGGAATTATGCTAATACCAAGATTATACTCCATTGGAAAAAGCACAGGTTCTTACAGTCTAAGGCCCAGAACTGCTTATCAGTACTGTACTGGTCCACACTCAAAGACATGTTACTTTTTCTGCCTCAAGTGTCTTAGAGTCACCCAGTCAGCTAGAAAGGGGAGCTTTTAAGCCACAGTATGCTCCATAGCTAAGCATTTAGGAACACTGAAAACACTAGGTGCTTCAGTTTCAAAAGAATGGTGTGCAACTTCTGTTATGTACATTGGAACTTCTAGGGAAACACAAGTCACTCTGAAAGATATTGGACCACTCCAAATCATTTGCCCACGTATGTGCACAGACTATGGTAAAGGTAAAAGGACCCCTGACCATTAGGTCCAGTCATGGCCAACTCTGGGTTTGCGGCGCTCATCTCGCTTTATTGGCCGACTATGGTAGAGCTAGCAAAAAGGCAACACCTGCACATCTGCATTGATTGTTGCAACATGTCCCTAATTATTATTATTGTATAGGAATACCATAATAATAATAATTAGGAATACAATAATAACTATAAGATTAATGTGTAATCTTAGAATCTTGTACAAGCTGTGGGGAGGAGCTTATCAGAGCTTGCAGGGCAGCAGTTGAAGAAGGAGCAAAAAGGGTTTTCTTGTGTGTGTGTGTGTGTGTGTGTGTTTCTTTGTGGCTGATTAGCTGCTCTCCCTGTGCAAAGGTCAGAGGGGGCAGGGTTTCTGTTGAGGCAGGTGATTAGCTGTGGGAGGAGCTTTTCAGAGCTTGCAGGGCAGCGGCGCGCGCAGTTTGATCCATCTTTTAGATTTAGGGGAGCTAGTCTCAAACGTTTGTTGGGGGAGACCTAGGTTTTTTTGTGGGGGGAGTTATTTGTCCTCTCTTCACGCTTTTTATGATGGAGGACCGCTGTAGCCACCCCCAACGACACGTACTCAAGATGGAGGGGGAGGGAACAGCTGCAGTTCGCTGGCGGTTCCTACGCAATGTTTGCCATCTTGCCAAAGGTTGCAGGCAGCTTTACCTGCAGCAATTGCATGTTGATTGCCCTCTTAAAAGACAAAGTCCAGCAACTGGAGGAACGTGTAGCTATGCTCCAAAGAATTAGAGAGCTGGAGCTCTTCTTGGAAGCAACAGAGCACACCGTCTCCACCAAGGAGGAGACAGGGGACTCCCCTGAGAAGGAGGCTAGTTCACCAACACAGGAGCCAGATATATGGAGAAACGTGACTCAAAGAAGTAGGAGGCCCAGGGTTCGCTCTGATTGTTTAGAAATACACAATCGCTTTGAGGTCCTCTCCCCTAGCATGGAAGACGAAGAGCAGACTCCATTTGAGGATCTCTCCCTCATTACAGTCAATCAGGTATATGAAGACAAGCAGCAAAGTCAGTCCTCAGGGAATGTGCAGGCAACCTTGGAACGGACAGCTCACGGAAGAACCCCGACCAAACCTAAGAGGAGGCGTGTAGTGGTAATAGGGGATTCCCTACTGAGGGGAACAGAAGCAGTGATCTGTGGGCCTGACAAGATGTCTCGGGAAGTGTGCTGTCTCCCCGGGGCTAAGATCCAAGATGTAACTGAACGACTGCAAGGAATCATAAAACCCACTGACAAATATCCCTTCCTCTTGGTTCACGTGGGAACCAATGACACTGCAAGCAATAGCCTCCAGAAGATCAAAAGAGACTACGAGGCTCTGGGCAGGAAATTGAAGCAATTAAATGCACAAATTGTCATCTCATCTGTCCTCCCAGTTGAATGACGTGGCCCAGGGAGAGAGGGAAAAATAGTGGAAGTGAACAGCTGGCTTCGCAAATGGTGTAAACAGGAACGGTTTGGATTCTTAGATCATGGACTGCAGTTTCTTGAAGATGGACTTCTGGCAAGCGATGGGCTGCACCTCACAACGGTTGGGAGAAATGTTTTTGCCAAAAATCTCAGAAACCTCATCAGGAGGGCTTTAAACTGACTAATGTGGGGGAGGGAGACAGTGCTCCTGAAGGTAGGAGTCTATCAATTGATGAAGATGATCATCCAAATGTCATAGACCAAATGGAGCAAACAGCACGCAGACCTAGTGGTGGGAGGAAAAAATCCTTAAATAAGAGACACGGGGGAATGATTAATGGACTTCAATGTCTGTATACTAATGCGCAAAGCATGGGAAATAAACAAGATGAGCTTGAGCTCTTGGTACAGCAAACTAAATATGACATAATAGGCATCACTGAAACCTGGTGGGATAAGTCCCATGATTGGAATGTAATAATGGGGGGATACAATCTATTTCAGAGAAACAGACCAGACAAGAAAGGAGGAGGAGTGGCGTTATATGTCAGGGATGTGTATACCTGTGAAGAGATCCAAGATTTAGAACCTCAAAGCCAAACTGAGAGCATTTGGGTCAAAATTAAGGGAGAGAAGAATAACAGTGACCTCATTGTGGGAGTTTACTATAGATCCCCAAGCCAAACGGAGGACATAGATGATGCCTTCCTGGAACAGATGGCCAAGCATGCAAAAGGAAGGGAGATAGTAGTAATGGGGGACTTCAATTACCCGGATATTTGTTGGATGTCAAACTCAGCCAAGGGCATAAGGTCAAACAGATTCCTCACTGGCCTTGCAGACAACTTCATTGTCCAGAAAGTGGGAGAAGCAACAAGAGGAACAGCCATTTTAGATCTGGTCCTAACCAATGTTGATGACCTGGTTAGTGGGGTAGAAGTGGAAGGATCATTAGGTGCGAGTGATCATGCTCTTCTGAAGTTTACTATACAGCGGAAAGGAGCAGCCAAGCATACTAGGACTCAATTTCTTGACTTTAAGAAAGGCGACTTCATAAAACTTAGGGAAGTGCTGGGTAAGATCTCATGGACAGTAATACTAAAAGGAAAGGGAGTTCATGATGGCTGGGAGTTTGTTAAGAGGGAGATACTAAAAGCACAACGTCAGGCAATACCAATGAGATGGAAACATGGAAGGTGCCTAAAGAAGCCAGGGTGGCTATCTAAAGAACTTTTAACTGAGTTAAGATTAAAAAAGGATGTGTACAAAAAATGGAAAAGGGGGGAAACAACCAAAGAGTTATTCAAACAAATAGCCAGCACGTGTAGACACAAAGTCAGAAAAGCTAAAGCACAGAATGAACTCAGGCTTGCTAGAGAGGTTAAAAGCAACAAAAAAGGCTTTTATGGGTATGTCCGTAGCAAAAGGAAAAACAAAGAAACAGTGGGGTCACTCAGAGGAGAAGATGGTGAAATGCAAACAGGGGACACAGAAAGGGCTGAACTCCTCAATGCCTTCTTTGCCTCAGTCTTCTCCGATAAAGAAAACAATGCCCGACCTGAAGAATTTGGAGCAAATGATTCAGCAAAGGAAACACAGCCCAGAATAACTAAGGAGATAGTACAAGAATACTTGGCTAGTTTAGATGTATTCAAGTCTCCAGGACCAGATGAACTGCATCCAAGAGTATTAAAAGAACTGGCAGATGTGATCTCAGAACCACTGGCAGTCATCTTTGAGAATTCCTGGAGAACAGGCGAAGTCCCGGCAGACTGGAGGAGGGCAAATGTTGTCCCTATCTTCAAAAAGGGGGAAAGAGAGGACCCAAATAATTACCGCCCAGTCAGTCTGACATCAATACCAGGGA